TGCATTTATTTTATTTTATTTTAGGTTTTTGCCATATGCTTGCTGGAGAAAGAGAGAGACAGAGAGAGGGAAGGTAAGAAATCACACCCCTGGAGAGTTGCCCATGCCATGATCCCTCCTCCTCCATTCTCTCAGGATTTTAGGCATGCATGCACATGTACCCAGCATGGTTCATGCCACTGGATCTGGGACTGGAACCGCAGTCGGCCCTGTAGGAGTCAAACACCTTAAACTACCACCATCTCTTGGCCGTGCATGTGCATTTATTCTGATAACTTTAACTGCTTCCAGCTTTGGGAAGAAGGCAAAGCATTATCAAAATTATAAGGCTGACTGCTCTAATTTTGAAAAGAGCCATCTCACATTAACGTGTGACTTACATAGCTCTCTCACCCATCAGCTGCTCCCTCACAAATCTAAATGGTAGATTTTTCCCCCAAAGGAATAAGGCCTGGTAAGAAAGAACTCTAGCAGTGGAGTCAGGCAGTACTGAATCTGAAGAGTCACTCGGCCACTTGCTAGGTGTGCGACCTTACGCAGGCAACTTCAATTTTTACTTCCTCAGCTGCACAACAGGGACAACGGCACCTGAGGCTGTTGAAAGATAAGGCACCATTTAGCCCATTGCCCGCTATGTAGCAAGTGCTTAATCAAATCAATGTTTCTTGGTAGTATTAACAAAAAGATGGTTTCAAGTTTAATGTATTATACAGCCAGCATTGAAGAAAACAAAAACAAAAACAAAAAAACAAACATGTCTATGTTCCTAGTTCCCCACACCAGAGACCTACCAACGTTGCCTTGGGAATCACTGTGAAAATAAGGAAGGAAGACAAAAATAACTCGGTAATGCCCTCATGCAGAATTCCCACCAATACCTTCATGGTCACGTTTGCCTGTGTTTACACATCTGGTTTCCTTTTTGGTGCCTCATTTGTTTCTGGGGCAGGAGTAGTTATCCCTTTGTGATAACTGTTTAACATTAAACAGGAATTTGGTATTTGCAAACCTTCTACCTTAGTACCTCTAACCTAATTGATTCTTTCTTAAGATCCTAAGCTCATGAAGAACATGCTTTTGCTTACTATTTTGACAACCTTTTTCTTGGTTAAAAAAAAAAAGAGAATTATTTATTTAATTTTATTTAACATTATCATTGTTATTATTTTAGAGAGGATTTTTTTTGCTATAGGCATGCGCTTGCCAGAAAGACAGAGAGACAGAAAGCAAGAAATCACCCTCCAGGGAAGATGGCCATACTGCGATCCCTTCTCCTCCATTCTCCTCTTGGGATCCTGGGCACGCATGCACATGTGCCTGGAGTGAGTTTTAGCCGCTTAATCTGGGACTCGAACTGTGGTTGACTATGTGGGAGTTCAGCGATGCAACCGTTATGCCATCTGCTGGTCTCAATTACTGTTATTGTTTAGTTTGCTACAGAGCACGTGCACTCACCAGAGAAAGACAGAGAGAGAGTGGAAGAAAGTGAGAAAGCATGCCACCAGGTCCAGGATTTGAACCACGGTCAGCCATATGGGAATCTAGCATCTTAGCCAACATACCACCTTCTGTCCCAATATTTTGACGATCTTTAAGTACAGACATGCCAGGGTCCTACGGTGATGTAGCAGTATTATGTGATACTCTGCGATGCAATCCTACATGGAAAGTTTCTGGTTCAAGTCCAGAGACCTCCCTGAGTATACCTGATACACACTGGTCTATGATCTGGAGCTGGCTGAAGGGTGGGAGTAGATTGCAGGACCAAGGCCCTATTGGGAGTTCTCCCTCTCTCACTCTCATTTTCTCTCAGAGGAAATAAATATACCTAAAAAATACATAAATACAGAAATGCCTAAAGAATCTGTCGGTGGATAAGTCCTTTCAGATGGTGACAACAGACTGGAATATGCTACAAGGACCTGCCTTTTCAGTGTGAAATAGCAGATCTATGCTAGAAAACCCTTGAAAGGCCAAGGAACAGACACAAGGCCCAGAACCACCTTTTAGGACTGAGGGCATGCACAGATAATCTCGAGAAAGAAAGGGGATGTTCCTTCCCCACAGTATCCAACCTCCCCTTCTTGTCTGCTTCATCTGAAACCCTGGTGGGGGAAAGAGAAACAAAAGCTACTCCTCATCTGCAAGAGGGAGCCTGACGCTGGCTGGCCTGGCAAAGGATGGTCAGATAGAGCAGCTCCCCACCTTGGAAGTCGGGGTGTTCAGTGGGCTGCCCTGCCACCAGCCAAACACTGGTAATGATAAAGTGTGTAATAACAGAAAGTGCTGGGCCAGCCCTGGGACCTTGTGGTTAAGGGGGCTGAATCCCATACGGAAGATCATGTTTTGAATCCTGGCCCTGCAGGCTTGAAACACATGCCAGGTGTGTGTGTGTATGCCTACCCCAGTTTCTGAAAGGATGGCGATATGAAGGAGAAGGGATTTGCAGTGTGAACTTACCCCATCAGGGGTGTGCTTTCTCTTTCTGCCTCCCTCTCTCTCTCAGTGAGAATATGTGCTCTCTGGCAATTAAAAAAAAAGGGGGGGGGGCAGACCAGCAGTTAGCGTAATGGCTATACATTAAAAGCAAATAGGACAAAACAGGTATAATCATATACACATTTGCCTTTCCTACAAGCTGCGTAGGAAATTAAACATGTGGAACAAGAAGATTGTCATTTCTTCTTTCAATAGAAAGTTCCAGTTGTAAAACAAAAATAAATGAATGGGACTCTTGGTACTTAAAAGTGGGAACTGGAAATATATGTGGTGCATCTAATAGAGATCTATATGTGTGTACTTCTCTAAAAAAAAAAAAAAAAAAGAAAAGAAAGTATGTGCAAAATAACACAAAATAGCAGATTACAAAATATTACATACTAATAGACACACTCTCGCACACACATACACAATATAGTCTCAATTATGTAAAATAAATCATATTTAAAAGCATAAAGGTAATACACTAAAACATGGGTTATTATGGAGAGGGAAGATATCTGTATTTTTTCCCTCCTACTTTGTATTATTTTTTTCCTTTTCTTTTGTAATTTAAATTGCTCTGATAGCTGCAATTTTTTTTTTAAATGTAAAAATAAGTTCATTAAAATTTGGGACCAGCAGTTAGCGTAATGGCTATGTTGTTGGACTCCCATGTAGTTGACCGTAGTTTGAGTCCCAGACCCGGTGACTTAAACTCACGCTGGGCGCATGTGCGTGCATGCTCAAGATCCTGAGAGAATGGAGGAGAAGGGATTGTGGTGTGGCCATCTCCCCTGGGGGGCGATTTCTCGCTTTCTGTCTCTCTGTCTCTCTGGTGAGTGCACAAGCCCTGTAGCAAAAACCTCTCAAAAAAAAAAAAAAATTCAACACATTTTACTTTTTTAAGCAAAAAGGGGAAAATGAGCGTTCAAAACAGAGGTTACCAATTTTTAAACGATCAAGCCTACAAAAACTTTACTAGGCCTGACGATAAAGGTAGATAATAAGTAACTAGGAAGGAACTTTCCCAATGTTCATATGAGCAGGCCGCCCTGATCCTTCCCTCTGGGCCAAAGCTACCTGCCTTTTTTTTTCTGTTATACATTCTGGTCAATCACAGAGGTTGGAGGAAGGGGGATGGAGAGTAAAACTCAGAAACTGGGACTGTAATAGAAGTCACTGTCATCAGTACTGCTTGGAAAGACTGCCAGCCCTTAGCTGCACTGAACAGTTGGACCTGCTTCACGCTGCCAGGTGTGGGCCTGGGGAAAACCTTGGCACGTCCAGAGGAGAGCCTTGGCCTTAAGTATCATAAATCAAGAGATGCAAGACATTTGTGGGACACAGAAATGGCTTATTACCTGCTGGTGATAACATGTACGGTATTCTCAACTGGATTGGTCTGAGGTGTATTTATGTGGGGTGAATTCTCTTTACAAGCCAAATGATGTATAGCGATTGAATGTTTAAAAAGTAATGATAATAATAAAACAAAACAAAACAAAAAGACATTCCGTTCGGAAGGAACCATTTCTCTTTAACACAGCCAAAAACATCAAGCTTGAAGGGGAAGAAGATACGGCTGTAGCAGGAGTGCTGAGTGGTATGTTAACTTTACACTCCTGTAAAGCTGCCCTGTTAATCCCTTATCCTGTTTTCTGAGCTCTGTGGGGACATTTAAGGTTCCCTTTATTGGCTGGAGCTTCTAGGCCTTTGTGCCTGGAGAAATCCAAGCCTTCCTCACCAGGCAATGAGTAGTTTGCTCTCCTAATCTCAGGAAAGCGCAGGTCCCCCCTCCCCCCACCCCCACCACACACACACAGGACAAGCAGTGGGGTAAGAAAGGAGGCAAGGTCACCTGGTGTGTGTGTGTGTGTGTGTGTGTGTGTGTGTAGGGAGATCATTTCTGGAATGTTTGCTCTTTGAAAAGCATTTGTATATCAGAACTCTGTGTGCACGTGTTGTAGTTTTGTTTTCTAACTGAAGGTGAGTGGTGTGATGGGGGGGCATGTGGGTGCAGTGTGACCCCCACCCAGACACTCTCCATACTTTGAGTTGAAGCAGTTCATTTGGTTTGGGCTGGGGATGGAGTGTACAGAGAAATGGCGGGGAACATCTGCTTAAAAAAATATGTAGATATTATGGAAGGTTTGTGGACTCGTGGACACCAATGAAACCGGGGGACTTGGGATTATCGGATGCAGAGAAATGAGGGCCAGGAACGAAATTGCCTTAAATTTATCAAATTATTCCAAGGGCAAATTAGAAGGCTCCTGGTTAGATGATACTGGGATGTCACTGCAAAGGGGCACCTGGAAGAAGGGACATCACATCAGCCTGGACAATTTGATCCCCTTCCCCTACCCCACCTGCTCAGATCCCCACTCCTTCTCCCTGCTCTTCCAGTCCCTCTGCAGGGCAGCGCAGGCGCGTGGCCCAGCTCCAGACCCTCTAGGCGGAGAGGCATCGGAAACCCCTCCCTAAGCCCCCACGGGTGGAGGGCACTGCAGGGTGGGTACCTTGGTGCCCTGGTAGAAGTCGTCGATGGACCGCGAGCCCATGAAGGGGAACTGCATGTGCGTGTGCGTGTCGATGCCGCCGGGCAGGACTAGCTTGCCGGCAGCGTCGAGGACCCGCAGCCCGGCGGGAGCGCCCCCAGGCGGCAGCAGGTCGCGTCCGAGCGCCCGCACCACGCCGTCCTCCACCAGCACGTCGGCCACCTGCGAGAAGTCATCGTTGACCACGCGACCCCCGCGGATCAGGAGCCGCGACGGCGCTGCCATGGCCGGGGGCGCGCCGAGTCCTAGTAAGTTGTGGGCTGCACGTTGGGACTGGCTCGGGGAAGTGAGGGTGGCCCTCCTTTAAGGTCCCCACGGACAGTCCCCAAGCTCCGACTACAGAAAACCCACAGCCCCGGGTCAGCTCGGGGTTAGGAGCGGGGGGCGGGGCGGGG